CACAGCAGGTGATTTGTATCAGTCCCCACAGGAAGTATATATTATTGAGGAAAACTATTGGGTGAGAGTAGAGTAAAATCAACCAAAAACACTAGGAGAAAAGTAATGGGAGACTGAGAAATGTGAAACTTGCCCGAAGTCATAAGGTGAGGAGGCAGATGATAATACTGGGATCAGGATTCTTCCGTCTTGCTTATGGTTAGAGGTGCTGAGGAAGACATCAAAGACAGCAGGATGCAAAGGATTGGATATAGCTGTGGGAGATCCAAGTCACCTGGAAAGTGCACAGTGTTTTGTGGTAAGTGTAGGAGACAGGTTAATTAGAGTATTCCTAGTCACTTGGTAAATCCAGGCCTGAAAGAGAAAGGAGATACTGTAGTGATGTAGCTGTGAGATGTCACTGCATCTTTTGTATCCAGCATGTAAAATGAGCTTAACTATGTAACATCCTTTGCATTAGTCCTTAGTAAAAAGTGCACAATAAAAGGACCACAACCAATATTTTAAGCCCAGATTCTTGAGTATGTTCAGGTTGAATTATGAATTTTCTGACGCTTTAAGTTAATGGCACATCTCCTTATGGCTTTTGGTTTTTGTCGGGCTAATTTTTTCTTGGATGCTTATAGAAAACAGATAGTGCTTGTCACCAGATTAACAGTGTGGGCAGTGTTGGGACAGACCCACCAAGCAATGTTCACTCTATTTTAATCCCCCTTCAGAGCATGCAGAAGCTTAGCATGCAGCTAACGTGGTAAGGAAGCAGTAATAATTTTCCAGCCTGTTTTTCTCCTGACAAACTCACAAACTTTCTAGAGAATTTAAAGGTTAACAATTTTTTGTTTTAAGCAGATACTGCTATGGGAAGGAGTTGGGCATCTTCAGTGAGAGTCTGCCTTCTCTCCTTGGTTGCACTGGTTAAGTAATAGGGAGCCAGATCACCTCTGACACCTTGAGTATTACAGAGTGTGTCACAGGGAGCTCAGTAATACCCATGCATTAACACTTCATTAACAGGCTTTCTGTGTTCAGTGTTCTCTGGAAAGACAGTGTAAGATTTTCCTAGGTAGCTGTGAGATGCTTAAGAGTGACAACTCACATTGCTCTTGCTGACTTTCTCCTGTTGTTCTGTGCTCAATGAGATTGTAACTAGAAAGAATGATCTGAAGTTGTACATCCAGATTATCAATACAGCAAGGGTCACCCAACCGAGTGATGCTGCAACACACAGTGCATGTCCCACTATGGTGTGCCTTCTTTAAAACTGTCCAGCTCTAGGCAGGAGTAGATCTCAGCAGCAGTAACACCTGCAGTTCTGGGCAGCTGGTAGAATAAAGCTGGTGGCAGAGGCAAGCAGGGTAAAATGCTGGAGGTGTCAGTCTGGATCTTGCAGTAGATTGTGCACTCCAGAGAAAAGCAGCAATGAAACAACGTATCCCAAGGGTTGTGAGCTTTAACTGTAATGAGGGAACACTAGAGAATGAGGGGATAATGGTGAAAGTAAATAAGCCAGGGGTACTCAGATGACTACTTTGAGTACCAGTTGGCCTCTCATACTACCTGCTTCACTAGGTGTCAGTGCTTCTAGACCAGATTATGCATGGCAGTAGTTGGTGTTGGGATCTCTGGGTTGTTTCCTGCTTCAGGCAACAAGTTCCATTTTGAAGGTCTTACTGATCTCTTATACTACTCCCCAACAAACACAGTAGGAGAAACAGAAGCAAGGGCTTTGACATCTAAATATGTTTTTAGTTATTCCTGTCTAAAGGCTTCTCCTTTTCTAATACTAAGATGTATATACACATTTACATTAATATACATTAAGATTGGGATATACTTAAAGTATTTCCACTAAATTTGTGAAATGTTGATGGAAGAGCAAGTTCAGTGATGATGCAAAAATAAAAAGGAGAGAAATTGAAATGAGCATATATGCTGTACAGCGTGGAGGCAACTGGAAAAGGAATGTGCAGTAGCAGCAGAAAAGACTTTATGTTTAGGTTAGAAACACTACTGAAAGTCAAAATGGAATATAAATTAAGCAATCAAAGGAAAACAAGAAACTTTGACATCTCTAATAATCTCTTAATCTCTAATAGAAACTCCAAAGGACAGTGTGATAGAAACACACTGTTTAGAAGAAACAATTAGTTGCAGCAGAAGGAAATGAGGTGAAATTAATGGAAACAAAAGTTGTTTCAAAATCTGCACAGAGAGCGTGCATAGGTGGTCATAGAGTAGGTGATATGGAGAGGAAAAAAAAAAAAAAAAAAAAAAAGAATGTAGGGCTTCTGGAATAACCAGCTCAAACAAATGAATTAAAAAAGCCCAAATAGAAAATAGATGGTATAGAAAGTGCATCAGGCAGCATGATGCATATTAAGGCATTCTCAGAAAGGTCAAGAGGCAAAGAAATACATTAGTTCTGCTGCAGTTGGATATATCTGGCTCAAAGGTCAGTCACCAAGGTCAATTACTGTCTTATTTTCCTTGATTCCAACATTAAAAAAAAAAAAAAAAAAAAAATGAAGTCAACATGAAGAAAAATACTAGGATCTGAAGCTTGTATTACTAGGTCATAGTAGGACTCACTGGAAACATGATGTCATTTTGATGAAGTGACCTAGCATCTCAAGGATAAGAGTTTTGATTTATATTATTTTATGGTCTCAGCCTGAAATTCAAGTGAAATGAAGCATAGCGTATGCTTATCCACAAAGGCGACACTTGAAGTCTAAACTTCAGTCAGAATGAAAAGCTAGAAAAAGTTAGCAGCCATGATACTTCAAGAAAACACAGTTTTCTTTTTTCGCTTTGACTTTCTTTCAAAAACAATTTATCATGAAACCCCTTAATTGTCATAAGCATTTCTGTAGGTGTCAGGAATTTATAAAATAAACATCATCCTCAAAACAGAGCTTGAACTCAAGGAGCTCTCTTGTAGTGGCTACCAGTGCTTAATTAAGAATTTTCTCCTGTTGGGAGCACAGCAGAAGTAAAGAAGGCCATGACAGATTCTTCGTTTAAGTTGCCTGAGGTAACTGCATATAGTAGAACAGATCGCATAGTTCACCCATCAGATCCTACAGCAACACCTGCTATATCCTTTAGTCTAACTGGCCATAAACAAGACCCACCATAAAACATAATTCCCAACATCCCACCAGTGGCTCCCTGACCAGTTATCTTATGCATTATTTCAGAACATTTCTGCAGAGTTCCTCCTCTTTAATGTTTGTTCTTGTCTTGTATCTTTCTTGTAGAAGGAGCAAACCCTCTCATTATCTACTTCAACGAGAATCAAGTGAATAAAGCAACTCTTAAGTCAGCTGTAGAGGCCTCATTTTATTAACAGTTATTGTTTATATTTCACTATTTCTGTGGCTTCACTAAGATAGAGATGTTGACGCTGATGCTTGACCATGAAGATCAGCTAATTCAGCCACAGAGTGAAAGAAAGTTTGAAGTCAAACTGCTTCTATCCTATCCATTCAATAAATAACCCCTGTACTTCAAAGTTCTTGTCTTTAGAATTCTTGAGGCACTGCAGAGCAGACTTAGCAGAATAATATTGTAAACCTAAAGTGGTTTTAATATTGAACTTATTGCAATTTCCTTGATGGCCATGATCCTTCAAAAATCTGATTCTCTCTGGCTGTTAGTATGGCAGGAAGCATCTACTTATGTCACCCAGCTGCCTCAATAATGTAACAACATTTTTCATATATCCAGTCTTCCTATGCTTAAGTAGGAAAAATTAGTCTGGGTATTCAAAGATACTTAGCTATTGTGCAGTCAATTCATTAAACCAGACTCCAAATTCAAACTTAAGGTAAGCATATGTTACTTAAGTTGAGGTATGCAAATAGTTCTTCTGAAAATCTTCATTTAACTTCTGTCTTTAAGTGAGTTTGTTCCTCCTTGTTTCCCAAAACTACTCTCTAAGAGTCTTCCTAACTATTTCAGAAGGGTTAGTTGATGCTGTATAGCTGAAGACAGATGAACAGATAGAAACGCTTGGAAGGGTTGAAAAATGTAGTTTTCTTCTACATATGTAAATCTATTGTTTGCATTCTGAAGATCCTTATTTCTTTTTTGCCTGGTGTTTTTAAGTTGCTTCACAAATAGTGAGGTAAGTATTGTAGACTTTCATTAGTACCATTATTAGGGTTATTATTATTATCGCTGAAGTAAGTATTGCCTTAAGCTTCAATTTTTGCACATAATTATAACTCTGACAAATAATTCATATGAAACCTAAGAAACATTGCTTTCTGCTTGGGCGTTTTTTTTTTTACTTTTTAGGTTCCTATGCCAAGATACAATCAAGTGAAACGCTTTGGTTAACATAGCAAATAAATGTAAACACTGCAATTACTGGAAATTCTCGTCCACTAACTATCCAAATTTAATACAAATACATCGCTGCATCCTACGAGGGAGAGAATCTATATACAGAGAGAAATATATTAAACCAATAGGTCTCTGAATATGACAAAGAGTGGGGAAAAAAATTCAATATCTCATGACAGCTAAACAATTTTAGGAGTTTCTGAAATAATGATACTTTTTCTGCTTCTCTAAAACAATCCCCAACCACGTTGCAATTGTGAGTTTGCATCAACCTTTAGGAATATAATGGCAAAGACGACATCAGGATCTTGGCTTATATGCATGGATCAGAAAATTGTCCAGTGTAATCCTATTGATCTTCAACTAACACAAAAACAGCACTGACCAGAATATCATAAATTTATATTTATGATAAGTGACAGCACACTGGATGGTAGAATTATGACCCTTTGTGACATGAATGCTTGAACACCTTGCAGTGCTAGAATGATAACATTTTCACTAGCGCCTTAGAATATCAACTAAATACTGAGTTTGACCACATAGGTGTTTTAAAAAGAATTCCTTTTGCAGTTGGAGAAATAGATAAAAACCGATATGAGACAAGCAAATAAAGTCTTTGGAGAGAGAAAGAAGCAGAATTCACTTACCAACCAGTCAAAAATATCGCTGTCAGAAATCCTCTCTTTTATTGAATGCAATGGGAGCTTAAACAGAATTCCACAGTGTCTGGAAGCAGAGAAGTTGAATATCACAATGTAAACTTGGGCATCAATGATGCATGTGATAAAAGACTATCCAAACTCAAATTGATAAAAGATTTGACCTGCATTTCATTATACTTTTATTCTTAAACTACATCGTCTCACTTTCATTTTTAGTCACAAAGTGTCTGATTTCATTACCTAATATTAATTTTGAAGGAATATTAAGAGAAGCACTTTTTTCTTAACCTGAAACATCAAACTTCTGGGATTGGAATAGCTACAGTACATTAAGCTTCAGTCATTGAGCCTCACAATTTCTCTTTGATCTTTCAAGTGCAGTATATCTCATATACCTTCACCATTTTAATTTTCCTGACTAAGTTAGACATACTTTATAGTCAATGGAGAGAGAAAAGCTTTTTCCAGAAGGAATCTTATTTCACCTATCTCTAGGATCTTGGCTACTTCTACTGGTGGGAAAACTTGTTGTGCTTGAGAATATGGATAACTGATTCAGGCCGGATCTCTATATTTTAGACAGTTTACATTTTATTATTTTGAAACCCATCCTGAGCTAATAAGCTTGTGCATTTCCTCTGAAAGTTACAAAACCAACCAAAACACAATTCACATAAATAACTAAGATAAACCTGATGTAATGCCATAATGTGATAGGCAGTATAGCAATAGTAGCAAGGTGGCACAACCCCAGGCTGCAGCAAATGAGAACAAGCCTAAGTGCAGCAGCCAGGGATACAGAAACAAAGGAAAAAAAACCAAAACTTTACCTTTTGAAAGGCCTCTGGGAAGCAGGGATCTGCAGAAAGATACCCCTCACCTCCACTGCCAGCCCTTAAATGAGGTCTGGGAAGGGTGGGTTGGCCCTGCCTTCCCACCAGGTGCTCAATCATCACTGTTTCAGTCTGTGACTTAGCATTTTTGCTACACCTGCCCTTAGGGAGCATCAGAAGGAATAACTTTTTGTGGGAGTACTAAAATGAGAAACATGAATGTTTAGATAGATGCAAGCATTTAAACATTTAACAAGAGAACAACAAAGAAAACCTCATGAGGAACACAATTTGTTAACTGTTTTGCTTATCTGACGTTATTGTATATATCATGTCCAATATTTTCTCCTTTCGTCACAAATGAATTTGGTAGTTACTTTATTTTTAGAGTAGATGTAGAATTATTACTATCTGTTTGTTCTGATTTTACAAAAATATTAGGATTAGATAATATTTTAAAGTCCCCAAAAATCTGTATTTTGGCCCAGCTACTGTCTTACGGGAAAAGATACCTGATCATAGTCAGAGCCCATTTTGTTCAAATACCAGTTTCTGGTCAATAAAAGGTTAATCACTGTTGTGTTACTAATGAAACGTTAAAGAATCACTTAAGAATTATTAGTAGCAGGTTGTACAAATTCAGTGTTTTTAAAGAATCCAAATAATGAATGAATATTGTTTGTCATTCCCCCTGCTCTTCATGTAGTGAACATTATTAATACTCGCATTTTGACAGTCTACTATATTCTCTTCCTTCCTCATCTCCTTGTCCGTCTTTGAGATTACACACATTAGCATGCTCTGGAAAGCAAAAGCAGCATCTCTATTTGTAGTTATTTCTTACTCTTGTTGAATTCAATTCCAAATACTGCAACTGCTTCCCAAATTTTATGTTTTACCTGTGTCTTTGTCAGAGATGCACTGGAACAGCGTGCCCAGAAGAGCTGCGGATATCCCATCTTTTGAGGTACTCAAGGAGGCCAGGTTTGAAGGTTTCCTACTCAGTTTGACCTAGAGGCTGACAGCCCTGCCCACAGCAAAGGGGTTGGAGCTAGATGATCTTTGAAGTTCCTTCCAAACAAATTCATTCTATAATTTATAGCAGGCTTCCTTCATTGATTAAAACCAAGTCCCAGGTTGGAACATTTCTGAATCCAAGGGTCCATCCTATTCCTGTGATAAACATGTTAAGGCACTGACCTTACATAAAGGTGTCCTTTGAAAACATTGTACCTTAGATACAAAATCACCAACAGTTTGCCAGCAGCAGAGACAGTTTACTCTCAAAGGCATTTCACAAAATCATACCTGCTGCCTTACATCAGGAGCAATAGGTTGCTTCTGGGTTGCAGCAGCACCTACCATAAGCCAGGCTTGTGTGTGACCTGTTTGATCCTCACCCATGCTGGAGAGTAGGCAGCCTGTATTCTGTGACTATTAAAGGTACTGATGCAATGCTTCTGAGGTTGGACAGGAAGGCTGGATGCTACCAAAGGATCATCAGTGGAAACATGATACATTGGGGTCTTATGGGAAAGAACATTGAGACAGTTCAGAAACTCACAGGAGAAATGAGGGAACAGGTGAGACAGACTGGTGTCAGGGATGGTGACGCAGGTGCATTGCTGTACTCTAAAGGTGCATAACTTCACTTAAATGGAAGAAGGTAAGATGATTTGTTACAGCTGAAAATCCACTGCTGGTTATACTATTATTAGAAGGCTTGCTTTGCAGGAGTAAATCTATATTTCTCCAGGGTGTTAGGGCAACTTGGCAAATGCAAAATAGATTTCATATTGTGAAGATGAACATTTCCAGCCCTGAGCTCAAACAATGCCTCTTTTATAGAACTGCATCATGACAGGGGGAGCTTTGTGTTTTCATGATTTTGATGGTATACATCAGATACATTCTTCTTACTTCACCTGCTGATCCTGTGAGATACAAGAGATCGTAGGAAACTGTTCTTCAAAGCGATGCTTTACACGGAAAGATTTAAGGTCATTAAAAATTGGGTATGAGGATTTCCCTGCCTCTGTAAATAGCCTGATTAAATTACTGAGTGGTCATGAGGACTCAGAGAAAATCCAGAGCTTAAAACAATTTGTGATCAGGACCTGATATCTGCACTACACAGATTTGGGAAGTCTTGTTCTGTGGTAACTGCAGTTCTGCACTCAGATTATTCCACAAGGCAAACCAAAACTTGGTAAATGGAAAATACCTGGGAAAATCTGAACAAAGGCACAAATATTAATTACCAATAGAAAACCTTCTGATTTATCAGTCAGTTGAAGCTTTGGACTTTTTTTGAGATCAAATAAAACTAGGAGTAAGCAATCTTCTTAAATCTTGTATCACATATTCCTTGGTTGATTCTGAGATATAAAATGCCAAGTAAATATCTTGGGCTGTTAGCATTACTAACTATTCATGTTATGGATAGTTTAAGCAATAGGTGGAATTTAGTTTAATTAATCAGCACAAAAAAAAAAAAAAGCCTACATTTATGACAGAATGAAAAGACAAAGATGTTTACCAAGCAAGATTTAAACATAGTTGAAAAACTGAAAAGCTTTCTGCAGTACCACATACAATATGGACTAAATAATACCTTTTGCTTAATTCTACTGAGCCAAGTTCTCTCTGGTGCAGTGCTGCTGATTTTAGCTGACTTAAACCAAGGGTGAACTTGTTCTGAAAACTTTAATAAAATGAAGTGATACCCAGAGGACTCTCAAAGACATAGGCTGGAGAGCTGGGCAGAAAAAAACCGGTTAACATTTAACAAAAGCAAGTGTAGAGTCTTGCATGTGGGGAGGAATAATTCCATGCACCAGTACATGTTGGGGGATGACCTGCTGGAGGGGAGCTCTGCAGAGAGGGACCTGGGTGTCCTGGTGGACGACAGGTTGGCCATGAGCCAGCAGTGTGCCCTTGTGGCCAAGAGGGCCAATGGCATCCTGGGGTGCACTAAAAAGAGTGTGGCCAGCAGGTCAAGGGAGGTGATCCTCCCCCTCTACTCTGCCCTGGTATGGCCTCATCTGGAGTACTGCATCCAGTTCTGGGCTCCCCAGTACAAAAGACAGGGATCTCTTGGAAAGAGTCCAGCGGAGGGCCACAAAGATGGTGAAGGTCCTGGAGCATCTCTCCTATGAGGAAAGGCTGAGTGATCTGGGTCTGTTCAGCCTTGAGAAAAGAAGACTGAGAGGGGACCTGATCCAGGTCTATAAATATCTAAGGTGTGGGGGGCAGAATGGCAAGGATGGACTCTTTTCAGTGGTGAGTGGAGACAGGACAAGGGGAAGCGGCTGGAAACTGCAGCACAGGAAGTTACGCACAAATGTGTGCAAGAACTTCTTTACAGTGAGGTGACGGAGCACTGGAACAGGCTGCCCACGGAGGTGGTGGAGTCTCCTTCTCTGGAAATGTTCAAGACCTGCCTGGATGCCTACCTGTGCGACCTGCTGTAGGGAACCTGCTTTGGCAGGGGGGTTGGACTCAATGATCTCTGGGGGTCCCTTCCAACCCCTACTATTTTGTGATTCTGTGAACTCAGGCTTAAAAGTCTACTTATTGTTGTTTGTGAATTTCTGATAGAACAAAGTTCAGAACTACACTGAAATAACAACAGTCTGTGACTTACAGGGCAGCAGTTTGGTATAGGATATTCGTGGCAATAAAAATCACAATAGGATTTAGGTTATTTACATATGGCCAGGAATTTAAGAGGAAGAAGCATCCATAGTGGGTCCATATTGTTGTGACTCCTTGTGAACTTGTTTCCAAACTGCAAAACCACAATTTGCTTCATAGAGTTAACAGTGTAACACCTTTTCAAATATCCAAATCTACAGTCTTCCTCCTAATAAAAAAATCGCCTAACGCCTGTGATATAAGATGCATATAGAGTCCACAGAGTTTAGCATATGTTCTAGCAAGATCTTTGGAACAATTTTCCACCATTAAATGCTGCAGGAAAAAAAAAGTTTGGGGAGGACATGTAAGGTGGATGAGAAAAACCATCAGAAATGCTGATTTGAACAGAATTGATAACACTGAATAGAACAAAAGCTTTCAACAACTGATAGTTCTTGGAAAGTCTCCCACAAACAGTTATTTTCTCGGTAGATGGGAATAGCTGTCCTAGCACCTGGATTATTGAGGGTAGAATGAATCTGCTGACTGTAGGTCATACACGTTTAAAAAAATCACAATAAAAAACACAAACTCTGAAACTGGGCTTAAGGGAGGATTTTACACATTCCTGATTTTACACGCAGTTTATGACAAGAGTTTATTATTTCTTCCACTATCCAAATTGTGAATAATCTCTTAATTTTGCTTTGTGCTTTTCTACTATTTCCAACAAATATCCACAGTAGATATTTGGATTTCTCCAGATATACACTCCTGACAACTTCAAGCAGACAACAATAGAATTTATCCTTCTGACATTTGTTCTGACAGTACATGGAAGAATCATCCTAAAACAGGATGCCTGTTTATAGAAAAGCAAGCTTGGGTTTGCTTTTGATAGGTTGTATCAAGAAGGCTTAAAGACATTTTAATTCACCAAACATTCTTGGACACAATGTCCCTTTAACAGAAGGTCAACAGGTTCCTCAATATTTCATTTCTGAACACAACTAAACACAGAGTGTTTCCATTGATGTCTTCAATATACATTACCATTAACACTGTCACTATACTGGCTCAAATCAAGCTGGTGCATTGTTATGTATACTAATTTGTCATTCTCATCCTCAAGGTATGATTGCAGATTAAAAATCAATTTGCAACAGATTATAATATCTCCTGCAGTGTCTGGGTGTAACAGAGATCATAGAATCTCACATGGTTTTGGTTGGAAGGAACCTTGAAGGTCACCTGATTCCAAAAGCCCTGCTTTAAGCAGGGACACCTCCCAGTAGACCAGGTTGCTCATAGCCTGGTTCATATAAAAAAACATTACCTCATCCATGAAAGACAGAAAGCATGTAAAAGTAGTTTCCCTTTCTCTACAGTTGCAAGATGACAATTGTTTGTGAAAAATTTTCAGAAAAGGAGAAAACCTAAGAATACATTTTTTGTATTAATTTCAGACCAGATCCATGCATTTTCCTTTAAGAACCAAGCTACTACTATTTTCCCTCTCTTTCCACATCAATTGTGCACTCCAGAATAGAAATAGACTGACAAGAATCTCCAGACAAGTGGCCCCAGTTTGATTTACCTGTTGTTAGCAGTTGTACAACATCTGTTAGCGTATGGCTGTCAGCTTTCAGAGTGGCTCTTGACAGATACAGCTCAGTGACAGTCACTTCTATGGTTTTCCAGCTGAGAAAGAGTTTAAAACAGATGAGTTTGGTTCTCATTTACACTAGAAGTGTCTTGAATCTGCCCTGGCAACAACAACAAGAGATGTCCTTTCACCCTTGCCCTACACAACAAGTCCTTAGTACAACTGTAAATGATAGATAGACATGAGGTATTTATATTTTCTGAAGGGCAAACCTTGAGACAACCATCAGCCTGAGTTAATCTCTACAGTTCTACATGGCTCTGATTTGTGTATGAAAGTTTGTTAAGTGACAGCAAATACACAGGTTGCTCCAAAAGTAATGCTTCCTTTTTATTTTCATGGAAACTATGAAAGTACAAACAGAAAAATAATGCTATTTAATAGAACAAATTCTCAGGTACAACAGAATATTTTTCAGCACACTCACCACCAAGAGCTGTGAATTTGTACCAGTGATTAACAAGAGCCAGCATGCCCCACTCATAAAAATCTGCACAAGCAGAGACGACCCACTGTTACTGTTGTCACTGCTAAAATGCACCTGTTACAGCTGGAAAAATTACTGTGATAAAAATGGGAAAAGAAACAAATAGGAAAAGAATACTCACCTGTAGCTGCAGATCTAGGTTCACAGGAAATACTTCAGAAAAGGGATCTTCAGAATAAGATTCTTTCCCAGCGGCAGTCAGCCCTTAAATGGGGTCTAGGAGGGGTGCAGCCAGGCTCCACCCCTTCTGAATTGTCTTCACCTGTGCTTCCATGGCTAACTCAGTCCTTTCCTCAGGTGATCAATCAGTGGTTCTGGCTGTGACTCAACAGTTGCCATACAGCACCACTCAGCACCTTACTGTACTCACATCTACTGTTTGGTCTCCAGAAACATTCAGCAAACATCATGTCAATAGGTGCAGGAAATTATAATGGGATATTGGTGGAAAGGTTCAGCCTCTACTGCCATACCACCAACACCCACCTCAGATGTTGTGAGCAAATAATAGAACAAAAATGGAGGCATTACTTTTGGAGCAGCCTTCACGTGTTCCGCAGATATCCTGTTGTATTGATACTGAGAAGGAAATGGATCATAACTCACAAAAAATGCTGTAAGTGTAGATGTCACAAAATGGAAGGTCCATTCCTTTTCTGACTTCTCTAAGTTGCAGACCTAACATGCTAATTCAAGCAACGTTGTTTATTTACAGCAATTGTCAGAGTTCGGTTTGTTCACCTGAAGGCAATAATCCAGTCTTGATACAATAATTCTCAAAATGATAAAAAAGCCTAAAGCAATTGCATTTGTTTCTTTTATGTTTTATTATGGAGGTTAATTTTCTCTCTGAAGATGTATACCTTTTCAAATACTTGATTAGAAATATTTCCTCAAATAAAAAATTGTTAGTATTTTTGGTTTATTATTAATGGTTATTACTTTTTCTAAACTTAATTTTAATTTTTATGAGGGTACAGAGGTCTCTTCACTAATAATTTTAAAGCAATACCAAAACAGATAAATGAAAAGGTATAAACTAGATCTAATGTATCCCATGGGAACCCTCTTGCAGAAAATCCTCACTTGTATTGGTGTGCATTTTGAAGCATATTCCAGCTAAAATCTATAGAAACCATCATCTCTCCTCCGTTAAATTACTTTTGTTGCTGTTGAGGTGAAGAAACTCTATTTTGTGTGATAAAAATAAAAAATTGCACAGAAAACTTACAGTATTTTGAAATTAACTCTTTTCAGATGAGTTTGCATAAACTGATTTTTTTCTATAAGAGAAAGAAATCTTTTCATTTGTTTCTGTTGGCTGTTCACGTGGCTCCGATACTCCTGGGAAAATTAGTAGAATGACATGGAGTTATATGGGGGGATGACAGAAAGGAGGACACAATGAAATCACCTCATTTTGAGATTTGAATCAAGCCTAGGGGTGAAATCTTCTCCATTATTTTGCATATTTATTTTGCCCTTTCAGTGTTTCAGTCCTGCTACAAGGATGTAAAATCTGCTTTCCTCTAAGTTGCTCATGATGCAAGCATTGAAATATAAGAACCAGGAAGAAAATACTTGTTCATCTGACTATAAATTTCCACACTGGAAAAAAGTGACTTTAAATAAAATAAGAAAATACAGTGGATGGGTGTTATTTAAGCATATAGTTTTAATGCATCTCATGCATAGCTAATGTCCATTCTTCTTTAGTGTTTCATCCAAAGGAAAGAATGGGTAGTGCTGGGATTATTCTTCAGCTACACATCACCTGCTGGCAAATTTATAACACTAATTTCTGGTCTGTAAGTCTCCCAAGCTCACCCTGATAAAATACTGCTTCCTCTTTCTCTGCAGGCTCTGTTTCATTCTAGCTCCAATATATACTTACATATTAAAGACTGAAGTCCATACAGTCCAATTTTTCTACACATCAACTATTTAAAAGTCTAGGAGAGAGCAACAAGCTACTTAACTTTTTGGGAGGGAGATGTGTGCCCAGTA